AACCAACAGAACCATCAACACAGACACTTTTCCCCCCACTCACTAAAACCAAACTCATCATCAGCAAGATAAAGTGCTCTCTGTGGAACTACTTACCCATGAACCATTCCCTTCCCTCCCTTCCCCATGCAACTATCTTGTCAAAGTACAGAGGGTTTGTTTAGGCATGGAAAAGCTGGCATTTTAAAGCCATAAATCCACAGTGGGAATTAATTAATGCCATAAATCCCATAAAAGTGGAAATTATTTTGTGGGCACTTCCACTTTTATATAAAACATTAGTCAGCAAACAGTTGACTTCCCTAAAGACTTTCTGTAGCACATTCAAGAGTGGTTGATAATTAAAAAAAAAAAAAAGTGGAGAGATGCCAGGCCCTTCATACTGAAGGATGAGGAACTCGACAAACCCAAAGGAGTGCAACCTGAACCACAAACTGGCATTTCCCCTCCCATTTTCCCCCTCCTCACACCTGCCTCAGCATTCACCCCTAAAGAATTAAACAATTTCCTACAAAAGCAAGAGAAATGGAAAAATATCAGCGTCAAGTAGGACAAGAAAGCATTTTCCACTCTTTTTCTTTTGTACTGCAATAAGATCTTCTTAAAACTACAATAAATAGAATTATTCCAACAATACAGAGATCATGCCAGATAATTCCAGGTTAAATTATAAAATCAAACAGCACCAAATTAAAGGTTTTTTTCACTCCTTTATCTCTTCTCAAACCACCCCATCTCTAGCATTTGTAAAGTTCACAGAAGACCAAAAACAAATTCCCAAAGCCTGCTGGTTTCCGGATAAGCCCCAAAAGACACACAAAGTTTCCCAAATCCTTAACATCGGCATTTTATAGGGGGGCTGTTGGCTGGAAGACACGGAAGGTCAGGAAAGCGCACGGAAGCTCCCCATCATCCTTACCACGGGCACTCCCACACCTACACTTCCATCCTTTCCCCGAAAAAAAAGGAGACAGGCCTCTGAGCAGCCCCGAGGGAGGGGAGAAGGCGAACACCCCACAAACTGCACCGAGGGCAGTTATCTGCAGACACGGCTCCGGGGGTGCACACACGCACACAAAGATCCCCAGAACGCGAACAAAAGCGAGCCCGTCGCCAGTTCGCGTTCCCCGAACCGCCGAGCCCGGCACAGCCCCGGGTGGGCCCTTCCCGGCGCTGCCCCGGAGGCCGCGGGGAGCCGGGGGGGCAGAGCGGAGAAATCGCCCTCTTTACCCCCCGGGCCCTGCCCCAGAGCACCCGGGAGAGGCGCGGAAGCCCCCGGGGCTGTGCCGGGGGGGAAAGGCGATGCCGTGCCCCCGGTGCCCCGCCGGACGGCGAGGCCGTCCCGGCCGCGGGGGTGGCACCGCCCGCAGCCGCTGGCGGAGGAGGGCTGGGGCTCTGAGTTCACCATTTCCCCGTCCCCTCCCCTGCCCCCCGCGGGCACGACAGCCATGGCCCCTCGCCCGGCCTGCGGGAGCCCCGCCGTCTCTCTCCTGTGGAGCCTCGGCGCTGTCGAGCAGCTGCCATTACTCGGGCCAAGACCCGTCCTCCAAGCAGGCATCCCCCTCCCCAGCGAGGAAATGCGGCGGCGGCGGGGGTGTGTGAGCGAAAGGAAAGCGGGGGAGAGTGGGGAGCAAAGCGGTGGCCCCGCGTGCGGGATAGAGCGGGGCCGGGGGGTGACGGGGCTGAGGCCGGGCTGCACCACACCCTGCCCGGCCTCGCCTCTCACGCGAGTCCCCGGCTCCCCCGCGCCCTGCAGGCCCGCGCGGAGCGCTGGAAGCGGCGATTCTCCGGGGAGCGCCCCTCTCCCCACCCCACCTCCTCCCGCCCCGGCCCCGGGGCTGGCTGCAACTCGGCACGGGGGCGCGGGGGACCCGCCGCCGCCTCCCTGCCGAAATTCGACCGGGGAAGGTGTGGGGACAAAAATAATCGCCGTTAATAATCACACGCGCTCCGCCGCCGTCCCCTTCTCCTCCTCGGTTTCCAAGCGGGCTGCCAGATAATCCTGCCCACTCCGAAAAATGAAATAATAATAATAATAAAAAAATCCCGCCTTCCATCTCCCCCCCGCAGCCCCACACATTTTATTATTAAGTATAATTGCTCCCCCCTCCTCATACGGCACCCCGCGGGGAAGGATTGCCCCCTCCCCTGGTGCCCAGCCCTTCCCCTGTCCCCTCTCCCCCATCTCCTTGGAACAGTGTGTACATGATTTTGTAGTTTTTTTAAGGCGCCATGTTTATAATCCTCCATCATATTAAAAAAAAAAAAAAATCCACCCAGCATGAGACACGGCGTCTCTCGCACCCCAAAGCCAGGGAGGCAGACACAGAAATATCCACAGGGCTGTAAATTCACCCCCCCCTCCCGCACACACACCCCTCCTCCCCAGACTTAAAAGTCTCTCTCACCTTGTGCTGCTGGCGCTGCTTCTGCTGCTGCAGGGGGGGAGAAGTTAAGCCAGGGGAAACTTTTCAATCCCTTCCCCAGGCCGCTGCTGCCTCCTCCTTCCACATATTTTTCCCCTCAGAGTTTTATTGTGTCTGAATTTTCTCTCTCTCTCTCTCTCCTCTTCTGTCTGTCCACAGTTCAGGTTTCTGGGGTAAACAGGGTTTAGGATGGTGCTAGGGATATTTGGGAGAAGGAGAACTCTAGTGGTCTCTGCTGGAGTTGCTGTTTGTTTCTTTTATTATTTTTTTTTTAATAATACATCTGAAACGGATCTTTAACTATTTATTATGTATGTATTTTGTCATACTCTTAGGTCTGGACCCTCTCTTGTTGCAGAGGGAAAATATGGTGCTTATTCGGCCTTGATACATGAAAATTTCTCCTGTCATGAAGTGTGACTTGGAGAAATGACAGATAACGTTTTTGAAAGTAGACTCTCACCTTGAGCAACAGAAAGTAAAACACAGAGAATCAGCGGTCTGTCTCAGAGCTGTCAATACATCCTCAGCTGCAGATCACAGAAGAATCATTTAAATTGGAAGAGACCTTTTGATCACTGAGTCCAACTGTTAGCCACACTTGCACTACAGGGGAAGGAAATACATATTAATACAAAATACATAACTTGATAGGAACATATATATAGATGTACATATGTATGTATGTAAGTAGCAAGAAAACATAAATTTTCTATTTTTTAAATGGACTGTGAGATAAATATTAATAAATGTCTATGGAAATATATCCTAAAGTTTCTGAAATTCTTCAGGAATTATTAAATGGGTAAGTAACACTTCACAATTAATTAACTTGACTAGAATTTTACTTTAATCAAAATAAACTGTAAGCTTAGTTCTATAAACACTTATGCATGTAAAAAATTTAATCACATGAGTAGTCATTAATATTACTGAAATAGTAGAAGGAAATGGTAGTGCTAATGTTGAAAAAGAAGCATCCATTGTGCCTGGTCGGTAAAAAATTAACAGTTTGCACACTGAAAAGTGGAAGTTTCTCCAGCATGTCCAGTAAATAAGATTTCTAGTAGTGTTTAAACCCAGTTTCTTTGAGACTGCTGCATCAGGACATTACATCCACTTCTAAAATAAAATGCAAATAATGGTTAGTTGCACAGCTGTGATAAAGTCTTACTTCTATTATGCATTTAAATATGAAAGAATATTTTACATTATCTAAAATAAATAGATAGGAAACAAAGTGCTGGTAATCTGCTCTCAAAGAGTGCTTGAGGCATTGGGCAGATACCCAATAGTAGCACTATAATTTATTAACTGCATTATATTGCTTGTATTAATAAAAAGCAAATGAAATTTACTAGGTTTTTTTTTTACATAAAAAGGAATTTACCATCAGTATAATTATAAATTACCTTATGTTAAGCATGTATTTGTGATGTTTGGCTGTGATTTCATTAAGGCATGTAATTTTCAAAAGAAGTTTGATAGAAATATGTGCCAAGTTTCCATGGGATATTAGTGGCTTGCCTGTCCTAGCTTTCTTTGAAACCTTCTCTGTTCAAATTGCATCTGGGCTATATTTATCTACAGGGGGGGAAAGAAGAATATGGGGTCATTACAGTTTCTGCTGTTTCTACCATGCAGTCAAGCCAACAGCTCTGCTCAAGCTGACATGGTTAAGGTGCACTGATTTTTGCATCCAGAATCAGAGGACAAACATAGCCAGCAGTCACATAACCATTTTTACTTCTTCACCCCAAACCTGGGTTGGCTGGGGGGATTTGCCATAACTCCAAAACAAAGCTCCAAAGCCAGTCTTAGCTTCTCTAGTGAAAGATTTATTGCTCTGTCGCAGTGCCTTCTCCTTACCTATGTAAATATTTATTTAAGGCAGAAGTTCAGCTATCTTCAGTATAAAGAGGTTTTAGCCTCTTATCTCTCACAGGACCCATAGAGAGCTGTCAAATAAATACTTAGGCCACAGTTTCACCACCATGAAAGCACATGGAGGGTGGAAGCCTTACGGCTTGCCTACTGTACAGGTTTTTTACCTGGAGTCTACCACTTGCCAGCAGTCTCCTGTACTTAACATATTTATAAAGGCTAGTCTGGACCACCTCCAAATATTTGTTTCAGGACACAAATATTTGATTTTAGAAAGAACAAAGTATCCTAAAGCAAACATGTAGGGAGTGTCTGCAACCATAGCCACGTTACCTTCTCTGAGCTGGAGGGCAATGAATTAGATCCAGTGTACAAAGACAGGCATAGAGCTTATAGATGGGTGTTCATGGGCCTGCTTTTGGGGTGTTTTGATATCCTCATTAGGCTCCCTGAGCGGCTGTTTGCATTATATAGCCTTTAGGGTGCACATTGAAGGAATAAAAGGAAGCATTTTTGTCTGGTTTTGACTTATTTTTATGTGTTTTGTGAAGACTTTTTAATGCTCGTCAGTGCAGAGCTTTGAAGCCCGGCTCCCGCGTTTACCCTCAGCAGCTGGGTGTCTAACCGGAGCCCTGCGGCGGCTCCCTCCCGGCCATTCACTTTCACTGGAGCGGGGGCCGGGAGCGCCGAGCCCGGCAGACAATGGGAAGGAAATCCCCCTCCCCCAGCCCCGGCCGCGGCGGGTTTCCTCGTCGGCACGGGGAAATGTTTGTTCCAACAAGAAGCGGGCTCGGGGCCGCCGGCAGCCCCCCTCCCCGGGGCGGGGGGCGGTGCGAGGCCGCAGGGCCGCGCTTCCTCCCGCCCGGCCGGGAAGGGCCCGGGCAAGGGCGAGCCGCAGCCGCGGCTCCGGGGCAGGACCGGCACCTCCCGGGCTGCAGTGGCTCGCCTGGGGAAAGGATTTGCCGCTCCGAAAGGTTTATGGTGGGGGTTCGAGACGCCTGCTTGCTTACGTGGTTGCGGGGAGAGAAAACGCACCACTGCGTCAGTGTTAGAAAGAGAACATGATAAAGTTACTTCCTTCCGAGTAGAAAGTACTTGCCATAGGAATACGTCGGTCTGCATTTGAGCTCTGTGCTTTTGCCGGCAGTGCTGCACCGGTGTGTAAACAGGAGATTTGTAGGCACCTCTTCCCTTGGAAAGGGACTTGGAGGAGGGAGAAGAAGCTGAATAAACAAGAAGCACAGAATTAGCATCATCCAGATCAAGAATGTAATCTACTGCCATGAGTTAAAGGGGATGCCAGGCAGGTTCATGGGCAGGAAGTCCTTTACAGGTTGTAGACACACAAACCATGACTTGGGAAATCCCGGAGCTGATCACAGTTGGAGGCTGGGACATGAATACCCTCTGTCCTGCTGTTACATGTTCCCCCAGGTGTGTCCTCTACATTTTCCAGGCATGAAAAGAACAACACTGCCTAGTGTCCAAGCAGACTGGTATATATGCCTCATGTTCCTTTTAAATGCTGCTCTTCCCATCCTCCTTTTCAAAAGATCATTCTATTTTCAGTTCTAATACTGGAGAACACAATCCCGTGTGTATATGGCTTTTTATTCTTGCCACGATCTGCTGCCATTCTCTCACTTCAGTGGTACAGCCATCAAACCTGTAGGTGAAGTACATCAGTGCTGGTGGGTTCCAGGTACTGGGCTTGGTATAATGAAATCATCCATTGAATGCTGCCCTTAGGAGAACGGGGAGTGTTGTGTCCTCTCCATCTCAGCACTTGTGCTAGGCTAATGAATGCACATCCCTGCCTTCTCCAGGACTTTTTACCATCTTTCTGGCTGAACCAAACCCACCCACTGTAAGCTCAAGTCTTTATCTGGCTTTGTAAGATAGCTGTCTTGCTGGTGATGCCAACCCACTTCACTGTGTACTCCACTCCCAGCTGCACTGAAACAAAAATGATTTGAACGTGTTTTCTGGGAGGCAGGTCTGCTGTGTTGTGATCACAGAAGTATTAATGCAGAAAATTAGTGTAAATTTTTCATCAGAATGAAGTTTAGCAACACAGTTTTCTTTGCAGTAAAAATCTCAGCAAGGCATTTAATTTAGGAAGCTGGGGGAAGGGAACAAAGACTTAATAACAACAACAAGCTCAGGAAATCCATGGAGCTGAAAACAGTTGGAGGATGGGAGAGTCGTAAGGAGAAGGTTATGCTCTTCCTTTTTTCCCCAGGCATTGTAAAGAAAATACCAGGCTCAAGAGTGGGACACAGAGGAGAGAACCCCCAATTTCTGCTGCTCCATGAAGCTGTCTAGGGAATGAGTTCAAGTTACCCAGAGGTGCTGTCATTGCAAATGACATGATGAGAATTGAAATAGACCCTACAGCAGCCAGGATCCTTCCTTCCATTTCAGCTTCCCTCTCCTTGCTGTGTCCCTAGCCATGCACACCTGGCTGTGCAGTGCAGGCTACCCACAGTGCTCAGAGGAGCTTGTACAGGCAGAATTTCTAAAGACATTCTGGGGTGTTTGTGGAAAACAGTACGTTGTGGGGAGGTGGATCTTTGATCTGATACCCTATGGCCAGTACTCGTGTGTGTGAGTTCCTTGTGGATATAGCTGGTAATAAAAAAAATCCACTCAGAGCTAAGTCTAGCAAGTATAGATGTAGACTAAGATACAAAAATGCACCTTTTTTAATTCAGTGTGTTGTCTCTTTACATTTTCATGCACAACTGGGAATAGAGGTTTATCCTAAAAAGTTTACCTGTGAGTAAACTGACATATGTTTATGACATATGACATGACATGTGTTTACCACCAGCATTATGGTTCATGAAAAGTGTATGCCTGATTCAGCACAGAGTCTGCCAAAGGAAACGTAGCTCCATATTTTTTAACTAATTCTAAACAACAGAGCAAGAATTTGTACCAGTTGTATACTTTCTGGAAAAAACCCTTTAATGCTAGTTTTCAAATGTACATCAGATTTATCTCACATAGGTCTGTGTTGGTATAATATAGGAAATAATTTATATCTATATAGAACAATGCTCAAAACTTACATTTGATTTTAGACTGAAATAGCATCTATTTTTATTTTATGAGGATTCTGTGACTGGAGAAACATCATTTACCAGAAAACCTGGTGGAACTATGAGGAAACAAGTAGTACCTTTTGTTATTAAATAGCTACAGAACTAGAACTTTTATATACAATAAATACACAATGAATGCCATAATTTTGGGGAAATAATAATAATTACGCTGCACATCATATTAAATGCCAGCATAGAAAATAATAAGAGAAAAATCCTATGTTTACAGTAATGGGAGTCTATCCTTCCAAGGCAGGGGACATGCATGAATAAGGGAGGTGCATGTATTAGAAGCATGCAAAGATGTTCAAGTGCCTTTAAAAACAAGTTAGCTTGTGACAAGCCAGGTTTAACCTGTTTTGGTCCAGCACTGCCTTTTTGCTAATTAGTGCAGAAATACTCAGTCTCTGCCCTTTGTCAAAGCCTTCCATGTTCAAACGTGGCTTGTAAGCTCCAAGGTAGTGCTGGAACTGGGCTGGTTCCGTGCGTTCATGAGGCACTTCTCTGGGCTTAACAAGCCCTTCCAGCGTGCAGACTTCTGTCCCTGTATGGAGCAGAGGCATCCAGGTGTTTCTGAAAGAAAGAACGTGTTATCATTAGTACTTAACTGAAGCTATTTGATTACCAATTGTGGCTCTGCTTTTTCCCAAGCTCCAGTTTCCAGGAATACACTCTTTTGCATAGCATTAGCTCCAGTCTCACTCTGTTTATTTTTGCAGTTGTGATGCTACACAAAAGAGGCAGGATTGTTTCTGGAGCAGAGTTCTTGCATCAAACACATTGCCTGAGCTGAAGATCCTTACCAGACTGAAGCTGGCCTGGCATGAAGCCATCTTCCTGTGCTTGGAGCTTTGATGTGTCCCGATATCATCTGCAGCTTGACTACACCTCTTGGTGGTATCACTGATTGGCTGTACAAGGATGGGCTTAATTAATAGCAACATTTGTGTCAGTTTTGAACCATTATGCTCAAGATGAAAGCTAATAGGAACAAAAAAAAAAAATCCACATCTGTCATACTATATTTCAGACACCTTATTTGAAAGCTTTTATATTATCCAAAGTTAAAGATGATATGTTGGATAAGATATAATAGTTTAGATATAAATAGATAGGTAGAATAGTTTAGATATAAATAGATAATAGATACCAAAAAATAATTTTTGTTGCATTCTGTAAAGAATCACATGCTTAAAATCAATTGTAATATTCAAGTCTAATTGTCCTTTCACTACCAACCTTCTTACAATGATGAAATTGGAAGAGAATGTCATGACAAGTTAAGCAAAGGGGAACTTACACAGTGAGACTGATTGAAATTATTGCAGTTGAAAAGAGTACTGGGAAAAACAGATTGTGTATTACTTGATCTTACATGTCATGTAAAATATGTATTATGTATAATTCACAAGTAATAGATTTAATTTACATATTTATCTATTTACCTATTTATCTTAGTTAATAGCTGCATTATGTTCAGCATATGGCAATGTAATCACTTAAAGATTTCTCATTAAAAAACAAAAAATTATTAACACCCTGTTAACTTTAGTAAGAATAATGTGGGAGTTTGAAATATCTTGTAAATTTACCAGGCATACTAATCAAAAGCTATGGTTAGCTAGTAGCTAATTACAGGGTACCCTAATAAGGGTAACTAATTACAGTTACCATTGAAATAGTAACTAAATATGCTGCACTGCTGAATTTAAAAAGTTCACCTTATTTCCTTGATCCTGAATAAAAAAAACCAAAGGGAATCAGATTTTGACATCCTGTACATGTGTGTCACTCAGAGCAATCTTGGTAATATATTTTCTGTCCAATACTCTGCAATGATAAATTTTTTAACATTGAGATATAAATCCACATATTTTATTTCTAGTATTTGCATGCTTTATAGCCTCTTCTTAGTGCTGGACTAGTTCTAATTTTGTTCATTTTTTAACATAAAAGGAAAGATTTATCATCCCCATGTTTCAGTTCTTAACTATAGGTCATGCTACCTTTCATCTCAGTAATTTATGTGAATGTTTTCCCTTCTGGGTGACAACTACATTGCATTCACTTTGGAAATGCTGTTGCTTTTCAATGGTTTAGCACAATTTCAAGGTGTTGGGACAGACATACAGACATGGTTTTCCTTCTTTCTCCTGTAACTCTCCAGAGATCTAGGGAATCCTGCCTAAGTGCCAATTCAATATGAGTTGTATTTATTTTCTTTTCTATTTTTAGGAAGAAAAAATCCCACTGCATATAGTTGCTTATGCATTACATAAGATCAAGGTAAATGCGATGTGTGGCTAGAATTTTAGAATTCAAGCAATTTCTGTGTGATTTTTAAAAGAAAAATAAAGCATAGTGTTCGTACTGGAATCTGTGGGTGAAATAAGCAGAAATTTTGTGAAATACCAAAAATCGAAAGAATTGTACTTAGAAAATGAATCAACAGAACTGATGTTACATAATTACTTTTATATTTAAAACTATTTTTCTGATACTATTCAGAAAAGCTGCAAACTGGCAGGTGTGCATATAGTAGAGAACAACACAGGTTTCTGCTGTTAAAAACTCAGGAAGCTGCAAGGAATTTACAAAAAAATTTCAAAGGGCATGCTGTAATAAAAATCAAGCAGGAAAGCATTGTAATAATTTCTTATAATACTATTATTGGAAAAGGGATTCAATTTCCAGATGGATTCTCATTTGAAAAGGGGGCAGAGTTCCCCCCATCCTCTTACTTTGTGTACTGCATTTTGGAGTTAAAACTCATAGTGCTTGATGATATAAAAACAGGACAAATCAATTCACACAAAAGTCCATGTTTGAATTCTTACCCTGCACTAATTTTTGTCTGTAAGAAAATTTTGCATAGGTTTTAAATGAAATACTGTATCAATTCATTTGCAAGGAAGGTGACCACTTAAAAAGTTATATTTGCTTTCAGCTGCTGAGCTGTGAGCATATGAGAACGTAGTACACCATGCATATGGGGAATAAGGAAGATAATATGTGTCTTCTTGGAATCACAGGACTCATGATTACTCTCAGGTGATCAAAATATTAGGAAAGGCAAAAAAAGGAATGAACTCAAAACTAAAACACAAATATTTTTTTTAAAAAGACTGAAGATTTGGGCTGAACCGTCTCAAAATATTTTATGTGCATGTAGGGATTCCTGAAGAGACAAATCCTTTTTGTGAAGTTGTAAGCACTGTCCAGTGTGTATGAACAATATGTTCAAGCAAGGACTATAAGAATAAAATCTTTCTCCTAGGAATTTAGTGACTAGGAATGAACTCCAAATCTCCCTGTGGTAGCAGTATGGTTGTTGGTCACGTTAGTGTTTGGGAATCCTGGCGTGAAGTGTTCCAAATTTGTATCCTCTTTTATGTTTTACTGGTTAGTAAGGGCACCTAGATGACAGGTGACACTGGTGCTCGCAGTGAACTCCTCTTGCCTTTTCATTACCACAGTGAAGTTGTTCAGGTCCCCAATGTTAGAAAATATAGAACAGACTAATGCACACTATATTAAAACATGATGTCCATAGGGAAAAAATGATAAACTACAAAACCCTCACAGAGCACTAACTGAATTTTTAAACTGTGTTATTTACAAGTGTTTTCATTCAGTGCCATGGAACTGCCAGGCTGAGGGGGCGTGGGGAGGTATGAACTATTTGTAAGGAATTAACTTCCCATGAAGTAATAGTGGTAGTTTTGTTTTGTTGGAATGTCTTCATGTCTTCATTTGCCTCAGTTATTAGATTTACATGGCACAATGAAGACTGACAAAATTCTGTTCTTGAGTTGTAGCAGCAGTTTTGTTGGAATGTCTTCATGGAAACTAAGGAGGCATTCCTTCGGAGGACTGGAGTCTTGATTATTTTTTGCCTCAGTTATTAGATTTACATGGCACAATGAAGACTGACAAAATTCTGTTCTTGAGTTGTAGCAGAACTTTCCTGTGAGTGTTTAAGTCAAACCTGAACTCATATATAATTGTACCATCTTTTTCTAGGAATACCTGTTCAAATATGATACTGAAAAATATAAAAAAGTCTTTAAAATTTGCAAGCTCATTGTTAAAAGTGTTAACAAAGAGATGTCTCCAAGCTTTCTCACAGATGGCCTCTTCTTTAAAATAAAAAATAAAGAGATTGTTCTTCCTTAGACAAACAAAGAATAAAGACCAGAGTTGAATGTAAGATGTGTAGTTTAGTGACTCTGAAAGGAACCAGTAGCATGTTGGATAATTAGTTGAACATGAACTTGTGTAGTTAATGAAAGAATACTGTTGCAATAAATAAGGTAAAGTAGAATGGATTATAGGAGGTGTAAGGAGTTGAAGTCCAAACTAAACCCAAAAAGCCTTTGCTACATTTGAAGCAGTAGGTCTACAGTAAAGTTTTTACACAATTGACTTAACGTTTAGATGGTGTATTTGGACATTGTTGTTGTACCTGAGACTTCAGAAAGAGGTAATAAAGAATAAAATGCCAGAATAAAATGACATTGTACAATTTTTAGTAGAAGTTTGTGTTAGTATTTTGATCATAAGGAAAAACATTGCTGATGAATAAATGAATAAAATAATGTCCTGCACTGATATCTAGCCCTTGCAACAACCTACATAACATGCCTTATATTCAGATGGCTAAATTCTGTTACCTGCAGAATAGAGTGTTCTCATGTAAACAATCTGTTGGGAGTACTGTCTGGGTTGTAATGCCCTTAAATCTGGCTTGGCTTTTTTTTTTTTTTATGTCTTCAAAAACCATGTTAACCATTTAACAGAATCTGTGACCATGTGCCAGTGCCTGTGCTTGGACCTTAGCCCTCCTTTGTTTATCACTACAGACATTGCTTCTTTATTATATTGCCTGCACACCCAAATTGATAGAAATGTATGTGAGTCCAGTTAATCTTAAGAAAAATTAATCTACGCAGACAACCCTAAAGGCAAAGCAGAATTCCAATAACTATTGCCCTAGACAAATAACTTTGTTGCTATTAATGTGAGCAAACTGTTTGCTGCAAGTCTAGCAAGCAGTGAGAGATTGATTGGAATGTGCATCCATGGAAATACAGTTTACAATTACTAAAATTTAATGCATCGAGTCTAGTGCCTGTTAGTGTGTGAAAGACTTAAATTTGTTTACTCTAGTTTTCTTCATAATATACATTAAAAAAATTGAAAAGCTTAATTTTTCTGTACGGCAGGCCCATGATTTCCAAGCAATTAGGAACTTCTGTTTCTTAACTTTTTTAACTTGTCAAGACATGCACGAGTTAGCAAGCACAATAGTATCTTAATATTTGAGCATACACATACAACCTGTCTTAGTTAACAACATCAGAAATGTTGAAAATAAGTGTATAAAAATAAATTTTCTAAGTCAGAAAAGTTATTACAACCCTAAGTTCCTCATAGCCTTTGTTTTGAAAGAACACAATGTGAAAAATGGAAACTAAAAATGTAGGGCCTTTATTAATAGCAACAGCTGTCACGTATTCATTTTTGTCTCTCTCGGATATTAAAAATGGCTAAATAGAATTGATTAAACTTTGCTTTAGAGTTGTCCTGGGAAGGAAGTAGCTATGACAGATTTCATCCAACAAATTACATATTTTTTTAAATTGAGGCTTATAATAAAAATGCTTGGAGATCCTATACATACAGCATTCCTTCTGTGATTCTATGAAATAGAGAGGGGATAGTGGAGCTCTACTGCCATTTGTCATTGTAGAGCCATAGAAAACATCTGCAGTGCAGGAGACTATTGCTCAGCTTGCCTGTGGTTTGCAGGGCCATATGCGCAAATCATTTAATTCAACAATAGAACACAGATCATACTGATTATTTCTGTTATACAGAGATATTTCTGATCTTTTCCTGTTCCACAGTTTATTTAAAAAAAAAATTCTAATTTTCAGATAGTCTAAATATTGATTGTGCTAGCATTTAGAAAGCACACTATAAGCAAATTTCACTGGAATCT